CCATCCTTACTCTCTAATACCTTTATTCCTGCCCAGGGAAGGGACAAGTTTGTGTGGTCCCTGACTTCTTCAGGGGACTTCTCAATATAACCTTTTACAAAACTCTCACCTAACCTCCTACATTCCCTCTCAATCCCACCTCGATTCTTTCTCAGGTATGGCGGTCTATTGCACCCCCTAAAGTGCAAATGTTCAACTGGATAGCACTCTGGCAAGGCCCTCACTGTGGACCATCTACAAAGGAAAGGTTTTTTCCTTACAAATAGGTGCATTATGTGTTTGTCCCAAGAGGAAACAAATAACCATCTATTTTTGTTGTGCAATGTGGCACACGAGTTATGGGGCTGTATCCTTCAATTGTTTGGGGTGTATGGGTGATTCCCTCATCAATCAAGGACCTTCTGGAGGTTAATCTCGCTGATCACTGGCCCAAGGCTGGCAGGATCCTCTGGAAAGCTACCGTGGCTGCTACAATTTGGACCCTGTGGACTGAAAGAAATGCCTGTATCTTTAAGGGGATAGTCACTTCTGCCAGAGTGCTATTTGTCAAGGTTACCTCCTTAGTAACTTTTTGGGCGTCCCAATTCCTCCTTTTCAATGGAATTGCCAGAGACTCTTTCCTCACCAATTGGAAGCACATCCTCAGACACAACCCGAAGAAAAACAAGGTTACCTCCCCTTGGATGCCTCCTCCCCAAGACTCAATCAAAATGAATTTTGATGGATGCTCCTTAGGCAACCCAGGCCACGCTGGGGCCAGTGAGATCTTCAGGGACCACCAACATAATATTCTCTTCACCTACTCTGAATATTTTGGGCAGCAAGACTCCCAGTTCGCAAAGTCTATGGCTCTCCTTAGGGGCCTACGATGTTTTGATCGGTCTTGGGGTTGAAGGGCGATGCTAAAAATATTATCTCTTGGGCTTCTGGGACTTCGCCCCCACCCTGGCATCTTTTATTCATTTTTTATGAGATTAGCTACCTATGCAAGGATATGACAGTATCATGGACTCATATCTCGAGGACATTGAACGGGTTCGCCAATCTGCTAGCTAAAGATGGAGCCTCAGCTTATGAAGATGCTTAGCATCGCCTATCTTGTGTGGTTGCCTACTGTTTGGGATCTCCATATCTTCGGCCTCCTCAACTGGTTTTCCCCCTTCACCAGTTTTTTGCTTTGTCTCTCTCGCTCTTGTATGTCTCTTGTACATGGTTCTTATACGATGTTAGGGGATAATCCTATAACCCCATTTTGTTCTTAGTCCTTTGACCATGTCTTTTTTACCAGGAGCCTCTCTTAGATTCTCTTGGTATAACCTTGTATCCCATTTCTTTTCAATACAAATGTTAACAGTTATCAAAAAAAAAAACAATAAGTTATTTGTTAATATTTGTAAAAGTTATAGTCATATTAATTTAAAATCATAATTTAGACTAAATATAAAAATAACATAATCTATAAAGTAATAACAATTTATTAAATAATATAATATTTTAATATATTATATTATGTGATGTTTTGGTGTATTTATAACAATAAAAAGTTCAATATAGCAATAACAATTTTAACGTAATTATGATAAATAAGTTAACAATCTTTTACGTTACATTCATTCAACATAATAATACTAATGTAATTTTAATGTGATGATATTCACATAAGTGAAATTTCTTAGCAAATGGCCAATATTATAACCATATATATAGAGAGAGATAACTATATAGATATAGAGAGAGACGAGATTATTTCTTTGTAGCATGTTTAAGCGAGTTCTAAGGCCCTTAACTAATAAAGAAAATAAAGCGAGCGGTGGGAGCTGGTCGCAAGGTCGATAATCTTCCCATCAAAAGATGAGGAGAGGGTGCTCATGAATTTATAGAGGAGTAATTGGCTGGACGAGTGTTGACGCTGCTTAAAAAACTAGTGTCAATGTCCCACATCGTTCGTTTCAATGAGTGGAAAGTTGTATAAATAGCTTAAGGCCCGTGAATGCTATCGTCAATACTTGTAGGTGAGCCACGTGCTTGCCCGCAAGGGCCATTTCAGAGGATGTCAATTGGAAGTGTTTTGCACACAAAACAAAAAAATGTGTTAAAAAATTAAAAAAAAAAGAAAAAAAAAAAATACAACCAAAAAAAGAAAAATATGACGTTGTAAATCAGTTTTTCAATGTCATACACGATCCATGACATCATCTAATGCGATCTATGATGTCATCCAATGATTCTACACAGTAAATCGTTGAATCATGATGTCAACACCGTTTTATGGGCAGATCCGGAGCGGGCTGGTTGATACCCAATCCAGATCACCCGATTCCGGATCGGGTCACTGAATTTTTCTGGTCTCCTATGTACAAAGGTAGGCCTGTTTGAGTAAAGGCTAAATCTCCAAAAAACTTTCGCACTGCATATACATATGATGGTCGCATTATCGCGAAGCAACCCTATAAAGGATATGTGTACATGCACATGGAGAGACACCCACACTATAATGATATGTGCATGTGACTTATTCTTAAGGGGGGGAACCTGTAATCCACATTCCAGGACTGTAATTCCACTCTTTATTGACCAACTGTGACAAGCCAATCATAAGCTCCTACATAAGACTGTGGGCCATGGGTCTCGTTGGGTCGGTTGGAGAAGATAGGCGAGGATCATGGCTACTGAGTTAGGTGAAGTGTCGTGGTAATCACTTATCTTACCCCATTGGTACTAGTCCACTTCTAAATATTTTATTTTTAGTGTTAGGAATGTTTGTGTGAATTTTAGAAATATTTTTAGAATTGTTAAAATTAATTTCAGCACTGATAAAAAGGAATTTGCAAAATTGTATTTTCATGAAGGGGCACATGTGGGGCCCTTATATCCGGCCCCAGACATGTGCCACACCACATGTGTTTTAAGTTAGTTAAGGTAATCTTTTAGATAAAGATTATGTCTTTATTTTGTGGGAGTTAATTTTTGATAATATGTTTTACCAAAAATATTTTGTTTTTGACTTCCTACAATTTTAATAGAGATAAAGGAAGTTCAAGAAGGTTCTTTTAAGATTGGGTTTATCCTAGTTTGATGAGAAGTAGATATAGGTCATAGATTCAGGGGATAAGGTGCCTAACATTCCTCCTTAAATTATGATAGCTGATTTATAAAATGAAATGATCTAAGCATGTCATTTCCCTTTGGCAAGCCCCAGTTGCTGCCACTCTCTGGGAATGCAACAACTGTGACTTTTCAAGGGGAGGAGACGAACTTGATTTTTCAACAAAGTCAAATCCATTATCTTTGGGCCCAAGAATAACAAGGCTTTCCAGCACTGCCCTCTAACTTCCAGCTCAATTGGAAGAACCTGCTAACTCTCAGAACAGCACGAATCTCTTGCTCCTCTCTTTGGAGACCACCAGAACAGGCCAAGTCAAGCTTAACTTCAACGGTTGCTCCCTTGGCAACCCAGGCCCCGCTGGAATAGGAGGCATCTACAGAGATTCCAGCGACACAAACCTACTCTCCTTCTCCCATTTCATTGGCCTAACCAATTCCACAGCGGCCGAAGCCTTTAGCCCTTCTTGTGGAACTACACAATTTGAACCCATCTTGGGATGCAACTCTGCTAATAGAGGGGGACTCCAAGAACATCATATCTTGGGCATCTAAATCTTCCCCCTGCCAATGGACATCTTTGATGAGATTTTCCACCTTTGCAAGGCCATGCACGTGGTCTGGCAGCATACCATGAGGGAAGCTAATGCCGCAGCCGCCACTCGTGCTAAAGAAGGCACCTCACAGAAGATCACACAGGACACATTTGAGCACCTTTTTGAGCTCGAGACCCCACTTTTGTTATCTACTTGCCATATCTCAGCTTGTATAGCATTTTTTGGACCCCGTAACAGTTTTTTGTATACAAACACCTGGATTGTGGGTTGTTCAACCTCTTGTACGTATCTTCCAACTATCCAACAGTTAACAATTTCAAAAAAAAAAACAAGACTGTTTTCAAGTTCGATAGGGAAAAGGTTATAGTAGAAATCATTAGCATTCCTACGTGACAACTGAAGACCATAATGTCAATATCAAAGTGAAGGATAGGATACAGTTTGGCACATACAACAGAAAAGGCCAGCTAAGATAAATGTACATGATCCATTTAAGGGGAAGCAAGGAAGTGGATGTAAATTTAAATCTAATGAATAATACTTTCACATTTTATGCATCATACTCATGTTTCATCACACATACAAAATTATACTCATTAAGTTTCGATTACTTACTTCACTCTCTATAACCTCTCTCCTTTATTTTTCTCACCAAAGCCAGCTTATTACCGTTATGTGAAATAACACCAGTATCTTAACAGTAACACATTACATTAAATAATAAGGAAAGACTTTCCAAACTTTCCCCCATATCGCAATACTTACTAGTCCTACGATACTTGGAGTAATAAGACCAGCACACTACAAATGAACACCATAAGAAATAGCAGTAACCTACCAAAAGGATTTGTAAAGATACATGATGAATTTCTAAGAAAAGCTCCGCCTTGGCTGGCCCCTGCAGGTCATGCTAGTCCCAATCCCGGATAACGGAAAAGGGCTGTTTTAGGTAGGTAGGCGCCCCCAAATAGTTGGGATAAGGCTTTAATATGATGATTATGAATTCCTAAGAAAAACAAAAACATGGATGTTAAGGAAATTAGTAATTATCTTACTACCATTGAACATTCTCAAGTTGGTATTTGGCAATTGGAATACATGCACAGAGAACAATATTTAGTAGGCTTTCTGCTTATTTCTCGACTAGCAGTCAGCCATTTATGAAATCTCCTCATAACCTAATCTATCAGCCAATCATGGATACCAATATGAACAAATAGATCTCATGCAAGTTTCAAAAGTAGGTTCCAAATTTCAACAACAAAGTGGCAGGAGTAATAATATGAATCTTATGGAACAGGAAAAATAAGAAATAATGAAAAGTAAGTAAATATCAAAGACCTTTGATATCAATCTTGGCTTGAGCCCTAGGCGTGCTGCTCCAGTTAAAGCATTCCCGGCATTTCCGCCCCCTTGGACCTGCAAATAGCCATTAATTGACTCATTCATTTCTAATAGCAGGACATGGCATTTCTTTATCTTACCTTTATTATTGAGAATAGGATAAATTTACTGTCGCAGTTTTCTAAACTGGCTGAGACACAAAATAGATAGCCAATTGCAAGATAGAACAAGGCAAACATTATATATCTGGACCTTCTACAACGTGTTTTTAAGAGTGCTAAATTACAAAAACCACCAGAAAGTTAACCTCAGGAGGAAGAGAAGCTAAAGAAACAAACTCAAAAATTACACACACACACACACATAGATATATACATGCCTGGCAAGGTGCTGAGTCTAAGTAGGAACTGACCAAACTTTGCATTCCTACATTTTAGTATATGATAGTACGGACACGCAAGGTCTGTACAGACGCTTGGGCTCAGGACCTTGCCAAGTCTTGAGTCCGAGCCTTGTTTTTAAACGACATATGCAATCTAATGTCATACACATATGCGTGTCAAATTCTTTGTTTCTGGGGCTCCATATAAAGAATTGATCAGGCTGTAGTGAATGATGTGCATCAAGTCTTCCTATTAATGATTTAAGGATCTCATCGAATGAGTCATTTCCTACTCCAACACTTTAGGAACTATGTCAATGACTTGTAATTTGTGAAATTAGTGAGCTCATCGAAGGGATTTGGAAATCGATGGCACTTTTTCAAACTCATCCTTTGTGACTTTCCAAACACAGATATTAAGAAATTTGCAATTTACCACTAGCTCAGAGCAGCGATTCAAAAGGAATGGTAAACCATGGTGCAACAAGCTAAAGCATACAGCATTCCAGGGCCAAACCAACCATCAATTCAAACTGATGGATTGATAGATACTACTTTGTGAGTGGGCCACAGGAACATTTGCCTTCACACACCCAGGTATGGTTAATCTATATCTAACTACCAGCAGGAACTGATGGTGCAGCTAGCAAATAATACCATATACCGTTGCCCACTAAATTAATAGGAAGCCTGAATGAACAGACTCATCTAGCAAATGTTCTCACATGGATGGATTAATATGATCCCAAAATTAAAAAACGGGTCTCAATACAAATGCAATTCAGCATTATCTCACTTTGTTCATTGTAAATTATAAAATTAAGGAAAGGAAAAAAAGAAAAAAGAAAAAAGAGCGTGTATAGCATACTCCCGCGGGAGCATATTGTTCATCAACTCCCCTGGGATAGATAGCTAGTTGTGAGGCTTTTTTTTTATCTAAAAATTTGGGATCCATTTAAGTATCACTAGATGTTTATTTTCAAGAAGAAAAGAACGGATTTTGAGTTCTTGAACATCTAGATCTTTCCCTCTAAACGTTCGACATTTTTTGTTCAATCTAGGGACGTCATTCTTTGTACTCGCATAGAGAGTACAAGCTAAATTCTTTTTGCTTTGAGGTTGGTCATTGGGTTCTAAATATTACATCCCCAAAATTTGAGGTCCAAAAAATAGTCCTAGCTAGAGTTTTGCCCCAGGGAGCAAATGCACAGTTCATTCCCGCAGGAGTATGAAGTCATTTCACACCCAAAAAATAAAAATAAAAGAAGAAGAAGAAGAAGAGGAAGTATGATTCAAATGCTTATGTACCACCTAACAACAATGACCAGATCAGTTACTAAGTTGAGGGTTGGAAAATGAAGTCTATGTAGCACATTACTGATGAGCTAGTTATTCGGAAAGCTAGAGTATTCCAAGCTCAAGTGACCCATTTGCCATCATATAATGAAGATAAAAGGTGTTGTCATAGAGATACCATATTCATCATACAACAGAAACACCCAATCATCACCAATATCATCAGAAAACAAAGAGAAGATTTTGGGGCATTTCATTATAATGGCATTTCAAGAACAATATGCAGCTAAACTGAATGAGAACGTTCCTGAGAAAGGGGTGTGTTAAAAATGCAAATACCTCTAAGCTCGTAGTCCGAATTTTATCATCTGGTTTGGGGTAGGACTTCACAGCTGCGAGGAAATCAGTGGAAATAGAACCACATCCCAACTGCAAAATGACACCAAAGATTTTTACAAGCACCAGATCGACAACTTGGGGAAACAATGAACCACGAGAGGGAATCAGAGAAAAAAATCGCTCCGAAATGATGAGAGAGAAACATAGGGGAGATTTAATACGAGTATGCGCTTCTCTGGAAGAGGAGGAGAAGGCGAAACTTCAGTTGCAACCGAACTCATACCAGAAGAAGCCATCTTAGCTCTGAGCAATTGAAACAAGGCGATTTATACCATGTTTAAACTGGGAGAAAGAAAACGAGTAATACATAGTTAAGAGGTCTATGATTTGGGGGTACTATGAACCTTGGGGTAGTTGCGGAGTTTCTCCAAGAAGCAAGGGACGAGGAGGGGAAATGAGGGAATTTATAAGCGCCGCACATCATTTTGTTTAATGCAAGTGGATGGAGAGAGAAAGCAAACTGTGGCTTGTTAATGGAGGAGGAGAGAGATTGTGTGGGCAAGCGAAATGTGTCTTGCAGTGCAAAGGCCTACTAGACAAGACATGGCGCGAAACCAAGTTCGGAGGATTGGTTTTGGATGGTGCCACTGAAACACTTGCATGAGCGATAAAAAGACGTTCCATGGGAATTGTTCGTACGCCTTGCCTCTACATTATAAAATGACATGGTTTATGTGAGTGGGTGCGGCAATGAGTCAGTGGCCCCTAGGGCCGGTCTGGGCCAAGGTAATAGAGCTCCGGCCTGGCTATTAGGTTTTTAAAATTTTTGTTTTGGTTTTTATCAATTTTTCTGGACCGCGCTCTTGGGCTTGCTGGGCCCAAGCCTGGACCTTTTTGTATTCAAAATCCTAGAAAATGAAAATCTCTACCATGATGGGTAAGGAATCTCAAGGCAAAAAGAAAAAAAAAAGAGTAATTATGGACTAAGTCTCTCAGCCTTGAAGGAGGCAGGGCGATGGAGGTAAGTGAAGTCTGGAACTCTGTCCCTAACATTTGTGTTGGAGAAGTGGGAGGCTGTAGGGGCAAGTAAGGCAAGCAGAGTGGTGGTGGTGGGCTCTTTTACCCCATCATCACATGATATTTTTGGTTTGAATGATTGGGCAAGAAGAGGTTGGAGTTTGTCGTATCGTCCCAAACATATAATCTTGGGCTCTGGTAGGGTTGCTTTTGTTCTGAATGCGGAGGAGGATGCTAGACTTGCCCTAGGGAGAAGGTTCTATAGAGTACGTGGTAGATTGATGACTGTGGAGGAATAAAAGCCATAGGCTCATGGTTCCTTCGTTCAGAAAGTATCCTATTGGATACGTCTTTGGGGTGTGCTGTTACATGTGCGGTGTATGGCTGCATTCCAAAAGTTGATTTCATCTTTTGGATATATCTAGGAATTGGATCCGAGAACTGATGGAAATCCTGATAGGAGGTTTGTTCATTTGAAAATTTGGGAGGTTCTCTAGTGGTCAAGTTCTAAGGAAGATTAGATTACAAGTGCGTCCAAAAAAATTTTGGGTTGATGTTATTGTGGTGGGACCCACTAAAGGGTTAATGGAGGGACAGCTCACAAGAATATTGAAGAGGAAGACTAGAGAGTGGTAGAAGCTAATAACAAAAGGCCAATTGGTTTTCTGGTTGAGGTTGCCGGAAAGGTCATTTCAAATTTTTCCAAGCATAATCTACCGAGACTCTCTAATCATAACTCTCGGAGGAGGAGACGTCGCCGTAACCGTAAATCTAAACAGCTAAAGATTTTTCTCGAAAGGTTTGGATTCTGGTGGACAAGTTTCCTAATCCTTCTACTAATCTAAAGTATATTTTAAATGAAGTTGTTTTGAAGGAACGTTCTGTTGACCCTGGAGGCCCACTGAATATTAATACCTACAACGCCACGCCGCAGTCAAAGGCTCATCTATCTCATAAGGGTGTGCCACTTTTGAGATCGTCTTATCAACAACTGCGACAGGGACAAGTGTTGAGCATGTAGGAAGTGGTTTGGATTTGGCTATATCTTCTACGATGAAGGAGGTGCTTGATGGTAAGGCGGTTTCCTTCCCAATAAACTTTCAGGATTCGGTTACTATTTCCCCTCTTTGGCATATGGTTAACGTTGGTTTTCTGATTGATGTTGGAAAATAGAGAACGATAAAGGCAAAGGTTTTTAGCCCCCTAAGAAAGAATTTGTCTTTGCTTCCATTAGTCGTTTTTCTCTTTAGGGCAAGTATGAAGTTTGTCCCTTGTAGAAGAGCGGCAAAGAAGAGGACTGAGCCTTGTGCTCATCCTTTTATTTGATCCCCTGTTGATAGATCCTATGGCCATCATTGAGGTGGTTTCAGAAGAGGAAGTTTTGGATGTAGAGATGGTGAGTGAGGAGATGGAGAAACAAGACGATAAAACTAGCTTCTTTGAGGCATTCAATGGGCCTAGCTATGGTGGAGGTGGGTTTTCAACCCCCACTGAATATCTTGCCTCAGGACTACCAAGAAACATTATTTCTAACTAGTTCGGAGGTTGGGCTTAGTGCTCATCTGGAGAGCTTGGTCATGGAAGAAGTGATAACGGGTAGTGTTGTTGTGGAGGAGAAGGTTGGAGAAGAAGGTTGGTCATTCGTTGAGAAGGACAAGGAGGCTCGAGAAGATGTCTAAAATGGGTAGTATGATGAATGTTATGGGACTTGACTATGAAATGCCTATAGCGGTGGTGTTAGAGGACATAAAGGCTAAGAAGAGAGCCGAGAAAGTGCCAAAGCAGCAAAGCTAGCTGCCAAGAGTCCAATGAAAGAGGCTAAGGGGGTGAAATTGGATAAGAAGCCAGTTAACGAGAAGGTTCTTGTTACTCCCTCCAAAAGTGGTAAGGGATCGTCCTCAGGAGTTGCCCAAGTGAAGTCGACTCAATCCTTAGCTAGGTTGGAGGCACGGGGCATTCTAAATAAAGTTGCACCAAGAGTTATGATCTTCAAGGAAGGCGAGGTGGTGGACATCAGTAGTGACATTGCATCCTTTGATTCAGAGCTTACACCAGCAGATATAGACTTCATTCTGGATCAACAGCTCAATGGACCATTCCAAGAGGGTCCAGGTTCTTCCTCAGCCCCTTTTGAATGATTATTCTATGCTGGAATGTTAGGGGTTTGGGGGAGCCTAGACGTAGGAAGGATATTCTTTTTTTGTAATGAAACATACACCATATGTAGTTATTTTGCAGGAAACCAAACTTCTAGAGCCCACTCTGTTTGGGATCAGGGAAATTTGGGGTCAAGGGGCTGTTAATTTTGTTGCCATTGATGCAGTCGGTCCATCAAGGGGTCTTTGAGTTTTATGGGACCCTACGGTCCTACAAAGTTTTGATATTTTAAGGGGTTTAGGGTTTTAATTGTTTGCTTTAGGGGTCCTTTGCGGAACTTCTCTTGGGCTCTACATAATGTATATGGACTTAATATTGCTAATTTAAAAGAAACTTTTGTGAAAGAGATGGTTGATTTTCTTTCTAGGCGTAATATTTCGTGCTGTATTAGGGGGGATTTTAATCTCATCCAATGGCCATAGGACTCTTCCTCAGGGAGTTCCATTAATTCTTATATGCAATTGTTCAATCGATTTATTGAAAGTCAAAGCTTGATTGATTTACCTGTTGTGGGGACTAAGTATACATTGACTAACAATAGTTTACAGAATCTGATCCAGATGAAGATTGATCGGTTTTTAGCTACACCGAACTGGATAGATTCCTTTCCCTTAACCTATATGAAAGTCGTTACTGAGCTATTTTCTGACCATACTCCTATTCTTTTGAATACGAGTAGCTTAGAAGGGAGTCCAAAGCCTTTTAGAATGAGATTGGATGGTTGGAAGAGAATGGAGTTGACTTAATTAGGAGCACTCGGGAAAATAAAATCACATATGAGTCTATGGATTTTTAGATGCATAAAAAATTGCTCAATATTTAGCACAAGTTCATTATGTGGAAGAAGGAGAATAGATATCAGATCAATGAGAAATTGGAGGGGGTATAGCAAGATTGATTGACGATTCTGTGTAGATTGCAGGTATCTTAACTGCTGAAATTGTGGTAGAGCGGAATAACAAATTAAAATCTCTTAAGGACTACCAGAGAATTGAGGAGATTTATTGGAGGCAACAATCTCGAGTGAAATGGCTTAAAGAATGTGATTTTGACCCCAAATTCTTCCATACTATTGCTAATGCCAGTAGGAGATAGAATGATATTTCTAGAATTTCTATTTCTGCGATAGATGAGGATGACTGGGAAGGCACTGACAAAGCAATAATTGAGCACTATCAAAAAGCCTTCACCTCTGACATTCATTTTACCCCTAGGACGGAGAGAATATCTTTTAAAAAGTTAACTCTTGAGATGACCAATCATTTAAAGATATATGTTATAATGGATGAGCTAAAAAAAGCATTGTTTTCACTTCTTGGGGACAAAGCTCAGCGTCTAGATGGTTTCCCTATTCATTTTTTTTCGAAGTTTCTGGTCCTTAATAGGTAGGGAGTTGTTACTTATGATCATGGAGTTCTTGATAAATGGGGAATTCTTCAAAGGGATTGATTCCACTTATATTGCTTTGATACCAAAGAAATCGGTAATGGCAAGTCTTTTAGATATTATGCCCATTTTCTTGCTAACTAGCCTATATAAAATTGTAGCAAAAGTTATGACAGAGCTCTTAAAGGTGGTGTTACCTTTTGTCATATGGGGCTCTCAATTAGCGTTTATTCAAAATAGGTTGATAACAGATAGTGTTTTAGTTGCACAAGAGTGCATACACTCAGTAAGTGAGAGTAAAAAATCGGGAGTTAATATAAAGTTGGATATGGAGAAGGCCTATAATATGGTAGAATGGGGGATTCTTTTAGAGATCATGAACGGAATGCGTTTTGGCAATAAATGGAAGAGCTGGATTTTCGAGTGTATCTCTTCGACCCATTTTCCAATTTTAATTGGAGGGAGCTTGAAAGGTTTTTTTCTCGCATCCAGAGGTTTGTGTCAAGGAGATCCTCTGTCTCCTTTCTTGTTCACTATTTATGTAGAGAGTTTTAGTATGATGATAAAAAATATTGAGACAGGTGGACATTTTAGTGGCTTTCGGGTAGCGAGGGATGGTCCTTGCATCTCACATTTACAATATGTGGACAACACTCTTATTTTTTATGGAGCGGAAGCAGATCAAGTTAATAGCATTGGAAGATTTTTAAGATGTTGCGAGGTATCTTTGGGCTTGAAAATGAATTTTGAGAAAACCTCCTTGATAGTGGTGGTGGTGGAGTTGGCATAACTATTACGTTGTAAAGTAGATGTTTCCCCTATGAATTATCTAGGACTTCCTTTTTCGGATTCACGGTTACTTATCTCTACTTGGGACAAGGTAATTCAAAGGGTGCAAACAAAGTTGGACCCGAAATATTTATCTAGGGAAGGAAGAGTGACATTGCATAGATCGTGTTTGGCGAACTTACGTATCTCAGATGTCGCTACTGAAAATGCTGAGGAGGGCGGTGAAAAATTAGAGCAGATGATGTGTTATTTCTTTTGAGGTTCTTTTGGAGATGGAAAAAATTACTACCTTTTTAGGTGGGATAGACTTTGCACACCCAAGAAAGAAGGGGGTTTGGGGATAAGAAGACTTTCTCTCATGAATGATGCATTACTCTGTAAGTGATAGTGGAGGAGTCTTAAGTCTATGGATCAGTTGTGGTATCTTGTCCTAGGTGTTAAATATGGTGAAGACCGTTTTGGTTTATGGGTTGGAGTGGGTATGACTTATTTTTTGGAAGGATATTTTTCTGTGCAAATTCTAGAAATATTAGGCAGTGTGTTGGCACGAGTTCTA